CAAGAGAATGTCAATTTCAATTATATATAATATAAAATACTACGACTTACTTAAATACTATTTCACAGTAAAGACAAAAAATATTATTCCTGAATAATACTAAAGTAATGAAATGTTATTCATTTTAATATTAATTAAGGACAAATATAGTTACATAGGAATGATAAAAATTGTGTTTGATTCCAATTTTCTAGAACAAATACACTTTTATTTTGAAACTTCAAGGAATACCAATCAAATGTTGAGAGTATTCTCTTTTATTAACAAGATAACACATGAATTTTTTTACAAAATCCAGGCTTTTAGATCATTCCATTATTTATCTCTGTGTGTACATATTGATTTTTAAACACAAAAACGTAATCTTTGCTTTGAAAAGAAGTGGAGTGCACCTTTAAAATATTTGAGATGCCAATTAAACTTCAGTCACATGGATAGCAACTTTAGATGACTTTTCTTTTTTTTTTCTGTTATAGAATAGAAGGGATTTTTTTAGCACTGAATAAACCCCCAGGCATATGCCTACCCTGTTCCCTTGTGCTCCCTGGTGCCTCCTTCGCCCTGACTTGGTTTTTATTTTCACTTCCTCAACCTGGAGTCCTGAGAAGCAGCAGTGGGCTGGCCTCAGGAAGCAGAGACTGCTGCTTCATCCCTGTGATTTTGGCTCTCACAACTGTGACCTTGAACTTCTTGATCATTCAGATGAAGGATCTCAAACTAATACAGAAGGTAATGAAAGTTGAGTATTTTTCTTGTACACAAACAGTTCTAATTAAATAAACTTTTTCTTTGTATTTATTCCTTTTCAATATTATCTAATTTTATACCTCGTTTTAAGTACTTACATTTCTATCACTTCTTTAAAAATATTTTCTTTTTCATTTTCCACATTTTTCTCATCTTTTGGCAAAAAAGCTGCTTTATTATTCATTTCCAATTAGTAAAAACTGTGATAATTATGATAATCTTTTCCATCTGCCTAAAATAGCCAGACCTCATTTACATTGATGGATATCTTTCACTTTTTCTTTAAATAGAACCTGTTACAAATTCACAAAATTTCAGACACTTGAATTTAACTTCAGAGGGAAAGAGAATTATATGTCATTTGCTGTATCACATTTTTAAAAATCAGCTGAATCTCATAAAAATAGTTAATATAGATTTCACATCAATAAAATAATCTTCAACCCTTTAATCTCTTTAATGTTATTTATTATCTCTTTTTAAAAATCACTGATCATCATCTTCATTTTTCATTTTTAAAATCAATACTTCTTACTGTAAAAACTATTAAAATATAAAAGCATTTACAATATTCGTTGCACATGACCTTCCTAACCCATAGCCACCCACCACATTTTCTATCAGAAAGGTAAGTGTACCCACTGCAGACCATTAATGGTAATGGCTTTGTCTCTGTATTCCTCCACCCACATAAGCTATTACTGCCTTTGAAACAACACCCTGTGACTCTTTGTTTATTTGGCAATATGTTCCAAAGACCTACTGATCCTCAAAAGTATCTTGAGTGAATTAACGAACTGTCCTAATATTTCTGAACATGAAATGAAATGCTGCCAAATATATTCAACTTTTCTGCTTGAGAAGGCAAGCATGACAGCCTTAGGGACAGAAACTGTAGGCTCAAGACCCAATCTTTAGTTCCCACATAGTGAAATCACCTTCACTGAAGGAGTCATTCTGAACCACATTTGAACACGACAAGAGAACCTCAGCCAATTTTCTTACAAGAGGATTATATTTTTTCTTATCCCCAGTATACCAAACTTTTGCTGAAGTTTGTACTAAACTCTAGTTTTACTATTCTAGTTATATATAT